GCACGGGCCGGGCGCGCGGGGCGGCGCGGGGGACCGGCTGGGAGCGGGCGGGCCAGACAAAGGAGACGGGGCGCGCAGAACAGGGAGGCGGCGGGTGGGGGAGATGCCGACGGTGGGAGAGGAATATCGGGGTGAGGTGGGGGGACGCGGCTGCCCAGCTTGTCTGCCTGGGACGGCCACCGCCCCGCACTCTGGACACCCACGCCGTGTCTAATTCCTCCCTGAGCTGGGGCCTCTGCGCGCCGTGATGTGAATCCCAATAGGGGGGATCTCAGGCGTTTCCCAGGCTGCGGAGGGGTTCGGAGCGCCGGGTCCTCCAGAGGTCAGAGGGGCAGCTCCTAGCTCCAGACCCAGGGGGCTCTGGCCACACAGGCTCAGAAGCCCCCTAAGGCCCCTGGGGGACCTTGGGCCTCCTATCCAGATGTCCTTGGGCAGGAAACCCTGGTGTCATCCACACACACTTGTTCAAACCAGAACAGTGGCCACTTCCTGAGTGCTGTCCCTCAATGCCTCTGGCTCTGCTGGCTTCCACCCTGACCCAGCACAGCTTGTTGTCCCCATCAGTGGGGCCCTGGGAGGCAAGCAGGAGTCCAGCGTCTTCGTCCATCACGTTCCCAGAGCTCAGGCATTGGGGCTGGAGAGGCAGAGTTCATGAGCGGGCAAGTGTCCAATTGTCCTACATTGAGAGTAATAATGGTGGTGATCAGAGGGGCTGTCCCTGAGGGGCAGAGGCTTCATTGTCCTAAAGGGGTGAGACCCCTTGGCCCCTGTCCCTGCCATCTCCTTGATCTGCTCATTGTCACCCTGTTGACCCAGCTTGAATGGATCGGCCACCCTGTGGGGAACCAATGAGGCAGGGGCAACTGGGAAGGGGGAGAGGGGCTGAGTCTTGTTTCATCAGGGGGCTCCAAAGATACCTACCTGTCTTTCCTGCCCTCTGAGTTCCCTGATGGAAATCAGTGATAGAATGGTCACCCCCACACCCAGGCCATAAATAATGGCTCAGTCTGATGAAATGGAGCAAGCTATGGAAGGCCCACCACGTGCCCAGTAATATAGACAAAATAGGGGGAAGGAGAGGAGGAAATATGGGGTGAACAACCAAGGGCCTGGTTTGGGAGAGTTCAGCCCCAGGCAGAGACCCCTGAACAATGGGACCAGGGTGCAGGGGCTTGTTGTAGAGCTCAGCAGCATGCCTGGGCCACGGGAAGTTTCATGGGGTGGTGGAGCTTGGAACTATCTGGCTATAGGATACATAGGGCCACCTCTCATGGACCTCTCAGTCCTCATCCTGTCCCTCGCTTCTCAGGGACCTCTTGGCAGACCATCCTGGGACCTATAGCCTTTCATCCTTTGGAAACTGGCTGGGCAATAGTTCTCTCCCAAAGAGGTCTCAGTTGTCCCTTCTCCAGGAAGCCTCCCTGGCCTGAGATGGGTGGTTGCCCCCAGCAACGACCATCCTAGGTTGGAGTTGCCCATTGTTTCTGGCCTGGAGGTGAAGACTTGGCTGTAGTCAAGAAGGAACCAGCAGTCGAGGGAGAAGGTCAGGTTGTAGAATGTAGTTGCCATAAATAAATGAGTATTTATAGCTTTCCCCACCCAGAATGGGCTGGGGCAGGGAGGGTCTTACCCTATGTTTGAATCCCCCCTTTCCTGAAACTTTTCTTTCAGATCTCTGTTTGAGGATTGCTTGGGGAGCTTCGGGGCAAGGGCAGGTCAGCTGGCTGGACCTGGACCTCAAAGCTGAGGCCCCGTAGGCTGGAATGGAGGATGTGGCCTCAGCTCTCCTTCCCTCCTGGTAGGGGCTGACAGTGACTGGGGACCTTTTGCAATCTCAGCAGTCATCCTTTTGCCTCAGCAAAATCTCTCCCCAACATATTTATCCCAGCCAGCAATGGGCAGGTGAGGCTCTGGAGGAAGGAGGGGAGCTGAAGGGATGGAAGCACAGTTAGCCATGAGAAATGGAGCGATCTATGGAGGGATTTGAGGCAAAGTGGACAGGAGGAGAGAAGGAAATACAGAGTGAACAACCAAGGGCCTGGTTTGGGAGAGTTCAGTCCTGGGCAGAGTCCCCTGAATAATGGGACCAGCATGCAGGGGCTTGTAGTAGAGCTCAGCAGCATGCCTGGGCCATGGGAGGCTTCATGGGGTGGTGGGGCTTGGAACTATCTGGCTATAGAACCCATAGAGCCACCTCTCATGGATCAGTCCTCACCCTGTCCCTCAGGGATTCCATGCAGGGACTGTCCCTCAATTGCTCTCCTTGTTTCTCCCCTTGCTCCTCTGTGCTTGGCTTTTTAACACCAGCTAAGCCCAGTCCCTCCAACTGCACTGAGGATGAAGCCTAATCAGGGGACCTTTTGCCCTTGTCCCAGGGTCAAGCCCCAGAACCCTCAGAACCCTTCCACTTCCTCCATGGGTTCCTAAGTCTGAACGGTCTTGGTTTTCGGGGAGAGATGTCTGTAGTCAAGCTCAACTCCTGCCAGAAGTCTGGGAAAGGGCAGGAGAGGGCAGAGGGGGTCCTAGTCCCTATAGGAAAGGGGCTCCAGTCTACTGGAGGGATGGAATCTCTGCTGGATGCAAGATCTGAAACCCCTGGCACCTGCCTGACATATAGTGGGGGGTGGGAGCTCAGAAAGATTTGTGGCATGAATGCGTGAGGACCAGAGCTGAAGCAGACAGGAAGGTTAGGCTGTAGAAAGGACTTCCATTCTTGGTAAGGGACCAAGGAAGGGCACGACAGCTGCATCTTCCTCTGCTGGGTCTGGAGTGCCCTCTGGTGGTCAAATGACATCAGGCCAACAGAGGCGGTGGACCTGCCTTCCACACCCTTCCCCGCCACAGCCCTCATCCACACAAGGCCCTTCCTATTTCCCAGTCCTCAGTCTCAGAACAGGGACGTAAGGTAGCACCTAGGTGATGGCTGCTTCTAGCTTCTGAGGGTTGGTGGCAAACAACTCTTGTGCCCCTCTTAGGCCTACAGGAGCCCTCTTCCTACTCTGCTCAGAGGCTGCCCAGGTTGAGGGTCAGAGTGGCAGCACTTCTGGGAAAGGAAGAACTCTCCAGCAGCCCGAGCTGTCCTATAACAGACACAGGCTCTCTGGGAGAAAATGAGCTCCCTGTCCCTGGAGACAGACAATTCCAAGAAGGAGAGTTCAGCCCCGAACCCACCTAGGCTGGGTACCCACCTAATAGGACATGGCATTCTAGAGGGAGTTCCATGGACCCAGGGAAGTAGGATTTTGTCACCACTGAGGTCCTTTTCCACTCCAAGGTTCTAACATTGTGAGTTAGAGGATAAGAGGAACTTCCCATGTTCCCAGGGCACAAATAAAAGGAGTCAGAGTCCTTAGTGACAGTAGTATTTATCACCCTGAGAGAGGGTGGCCTGGCTCGGGCTTCACTGGAACTGTGTGATACAGGGCCAGAGGATCAGCAGTCTCTTGTGTGCCTCAGTTGGCCCCTTTCTGCCCACGCATGCAGGCTGGTAAGGCAGTGGGGTGGAGCTGCTGGTGAGGTTCTCCCCCACCACACCCAGTTACAGCCCCACCCCTCCACCATCTCCCGGCCTTCTACTGCCCCCTCCCTATGGAGACACTGCCAATGGGAAGGAGGTGACTTCTGGTTCATAACTCCTTTCTTGCAGCAGCAGGGATGGAAGCTAGAAAAGAAGAACTTCCCAATAGTAGCCAATCATTGTCTCCTCAAAAGAGAGCGTCCTGTCAGGAACTGGAGCAGGTTAGGCCTGAGTGTCTGGTTCTTCCACCTTCAGAGGTCCCTGAGCCTCATCCTCATGCACCCCAGGCATCTGGAAGGCAGGAGGGGTGGTGGGGTTGAAGGCACAGCTCCAGGGGGCTGGAGGCCATAGCTCATCTGTATACCCCAGAGGAGGAGTGTGCAAGGAAGGAAGGAGGGAGGCTGGACCACAGCAGGTGAGGCAGGGCAGAGAGGGTCAGAGGGCATGAGGGCCTATGGGTTTGAGGACTGAGGCTGTGTCTCACCTCCCAGTAAATCTGGTCCTCATAGCACTGGGAGTCTTGGGGGGAGTCCAGGAAGGACAGCCTCAGCAGGAGCCCTGGTGGTGGTAGGAGAGGATATATGAAGCTTCTCCATGCCCCCACCTCACTGTGGGGGAGGTTGCCACCAGTGTCTCAGCACAGAGGGGCTGAGGGCATGAGGTCAACATGGTGCCTGGTGCAGGCAAACCACAGCTGTATTTGTTGAGAGCCTACTATGTGCCAGGCCCTGTGCAAAGTACTTGACCAGCATTGCCTTCCTGAGTAATCATGGCAACCCTGTGAGGTGAATATTATCCCTGTATTACAGATAAAAAACCAAGGCTCAAAGAAGTTAAATAATTTGCTCAAGTTTGCAATCAGTAATGGACCAAATTGTGATTCTGTCATGGACCAGTGCTACTGAGCTTTCTGTGGCCTCCCACACAGAGGGGCACAGAAAATGTTTATTGAAAAAACAAGTTAGGGATACTGAATCAAAGGCCAGACATCAGGAAGGACTGCCTGACCCGGGGCCTGTGGGCAGTCTGCCTCTATGGAAGGTGTCGGAAATCTGGTCTAGTAGTGAGCGGGACAGTCTCCCTTCTCTCAGTCTGCCCCTTCTAGGCCTCAGCCTGAGGTTGGGTTGCCCTCTAGTGGGTAGAGGGGGCAGCACAGGGGAGCCACAGAACAGGATGGGAAGGAGAGGGACCCACGCAACCCTAGAGGACTCCCAGCTTCCCTTGGCACCAAGAGGGAGCAAGCACCCACTTGTACCTCCCCACCTGAAGGATGTTACCCCTGAACCCATAATCTGACCCCTCATCTGGCACAAAGTAGGACCTCAATAAATTTGTGTGCATGAATGAATCAATGTCAGGGGCATAGGATCCAATGACCTTTCCTCTGGAGAACCCCCCTCCTCTGTTTCCTCCCCTCTCTGGAACTTCTGCCAGCCCCCCACTCCCAGCCAAGATCACTCACCTCCAAGGCCCCCGCCCACAGAGGCAAACATCAGAGTGACAAACAGCCCAAAGAGCTGGTATATGGCCTGAGATGTGGTGCTGCGCTGGCCCTCAGCTATGAGTGGAAACACACCCTCCAGGCTGCAGGGAGATCAGATCGTGGAGAGCCAGGGTTGGGGGAGATGGAGACAGAGCACGGGGCTAGGGCTGGTCATTGCACTGGCACTCGCACCATGGACACAAAGCAGCCAAAAGGGCCTCGAGGGAGCCTGCCAGGCTGAGTCTCAACTCCAGGCCTCTGCTCAAGCCAGGCCCACAGCCTGGAACACCCTCCCACCCTCATATGCCAGCAGACTTCCACATACCTTTCAAGACGCAGTTTGAGGGTCACTTTTGCCCTCCCTCTCCTCTGAGCCCTGATGGGCAAAAATAGATCCTAAGGGTCATTATCTCCCACTGATCCTTTAGAAACCCTCAATACCCTTGAAATCATTTGTTCAATGACCTTCTGCTGCACTTGACTGAAGACTGGGTTGGTCTTGTTCGCTCCAATTTCCTCAGCTCCCAGAATATGGATGGACGGATGAATAAATGAATAAAAATAAACACTGCTTTTTTTCTTGGCCCACAAATGGAGGAGAAGAGTGGGGAAGTTCATTCCAGAGGGATAATGACTGCAGTGTGGGTTGAGGGGAAACTCACCCATCTCCGTAAGCTTCATGGGTGGCCAGCCCAGCCACAAGGACCCCCAGGAGGGCCCCCAGGACCCCTGGCATCCCATGGAGGTTGTGGACACCACATGTGTCTTGGACTTTGAATTTTGATTCAAGGATGGGCTGGAAGACAGGACAGATAATAAGTCTCGTGTGCCCCCTCCCACTCCCACCCTGGGCCTGTGGGAGAGGTGGGAGGAAAGGTACTGAAGACTCCATGTTCTGCCCAGGGCCTGAGAGGCAGCTATACCGTGAAGAACTTGTACCCCAGCGTGGAGACAGTCCCAGCCAAGAAGCCAGCTGCCAGAGCCCCAAAGGGTGTCAGCATCATTTCACCTGATGTCCCCACCACAACCCCTCCAGCCAGTGCTGCATTCTGGATGTGGACCTGAGGGAATAGGGAAGAGCAAGGCGCTGCAGGACCTTTCAGATCGTCGTGCCCACACTCAATGCAACCCCATCCACCACAGTGGCCCTACTGCTTCTGCAAGTCCCTCTGCCATCTAACCCATAACTCTCCTGCTGTCATATCATCTCGCACTGTGACCCCACCACCACCTCTACAGATGGAGCCCCTGTGCCTGGGCCCTTAACCTGTTCCCCTGGACAATCTTTCTAGCAGGGTCTCAGACTTCTCCTCTCCCTCCCAGGCCAACCCTCTGCCTCTCCCAAGGCCACCTCCGCATACCATGTTGAGCTGCCCATCCACCCCGATGAGGGCTGACAAGGCGAAGGTGCTGAGGGTGCTCGCAGTCAGGGAGTAGTACGTGTTGAGGGCTGTCCGATGCTGCCCATCCCCCAGCATCGTGGGAGCAGAGTTGAAGCTGGGCCAGAAGATCCACAGGAAGATGGTCCCTAAATGGTGGGTGGGCAGGCAGAGCAAGAGGAAGTAAGTGGCTCCCCCACAGGTTGAGTTGTGGAACTGCAGGCAAGTCACCTACTCTCAGCAGCCTCAGTTTCCTGATCTGTGAAGTGGAAATAATGCTACCTCATAAAATGAAGATTAAATGATGCATAGAAATCTTAGTCCATGGCCTAGCAGGTACTAAATGCTCAACAAGTGGCAGCTATCGAAGGGTTCTGGCACAAAGGGAACTTGATTGAAAACCACAGAGCACTGAGTTTTTTTAAGTATCAGAAAAGGAAAGGGAAGACAGCAAAAGCCACTGCATGTCAGGCGCTATGCTGGATACTTGATATACGTGTCAGGAAAACCATTTCTTTAATAACCTCAATGGCCACTTAGAGAGGGAGAATCCTAGAGTGTGCAGGAGAGGCCTCTGTTTGCTGAGCACTGGATGGGCTGGGCTTGCACATTTGGGGTAAGAACTGGGCACCCATGTACGCTGCTTGCCTGTGTGAGGCCCCCTGGTCTATCTTGGAGGGAGTGGGAGGAGGAGTCAAGGGACGAGGTGAGGGGAAGGGCTGGGGACCCTGCAGGGTGGGCCAGCAAGGTGAGAGGCTTAGGGACTGCCCCTTAGTCCTGAGTGGTCCCTTGGATGTGACTTGCCCTTGCAACTCCAGAGTCTTGAGTAAAATCTACCACACTCAAATGTGTGTCCTCCGGGTAGAGAGTTTGGGGGGAATCAAGGAAGGGGCCAGGTTCAGGTTCAGGTTCCTGTCTGGGAGACATACACACTAAAAAACAGGGGTGGAGAGGCAGAAGAGATCCAAGAATATAAGTCTCCAGGGAATGCATGGGACTCTTGGGGAAGCCTTTGGACTTCAAGCCAAACTTATCTGGGCCTCAAAGGGCAAGGGGGCCTCGGCTGGCCTAGTGTTCCATGTGCTCTATTTCACAACAAACCCAGAGGTGGGCGAGAAACACAAAACCAGCCTCTCTTTTTAATGTAAGAACAGGCACCTCAGTCCCTATTCAACATCTACGAAAAAATAAAATACAGATTTCCTTTCCTGACTGCAGTTGTGAAGGTAGAGAGAGGAGCAGAGGCCAAAGTGGAGGTGCGTGCCTAGAAGAAATAGGTGCTGGTGATGGGGCTTCCAGGTCAGACCCTATGCTCCCTGGGATGGCCCATGACCCCTCCTTCCCCATGACCCCTCCTTCCCCGCCTGGGAGTGCAGGGGCTTCCAGAGAATTGCCTGGAGGAGGTATCCTTAGGAGGTAGAAGGCAACACCAGGGACAGGCAGAGGTCCTCTGTTTGCAGGGAGCCAAATCTGCAAAGGCCTAGAGCCAGGGCCCAAAGAAGCTGAGTCTGGCTGGAGCATGAGGGAAGAGTGAGGGGGGGGGGGGCAGCCTAGACCTGCATGGGCCAATGTGCCAGGCTGAGGAGACTGGTTTCTGTCATGTGGGTCAGGGTCATGCGGCTCTGAAAGGTTTTATGCAGTGATTGAAGTGGAAAGGCCCCTGGGGATGGATCCGGGGCATGTGTGAACCTCAGGGCTAAGTTCTAAGGAACTGTCATAAAACTATTGAGAACGATGAGCACAGATCCCATGGATCTCACAGTAGAATCCAAATAAAAAGGGAATTCCCAGCCAGAACTCCAAGGACTGCAGGCAGCATCCCAAGACCTTGCCTGGAGATGATCTTCTCCAGCCCAGATCAGAGGCATCTGGCACCAGCCCCCCACGCCGCCCCACCCTGCAGGCCTCACCAATCATTGCGAAGAGGTCTGAATGGTAGACTGAGCCCAGGCGGTGCTTGCTCTTCTCCAGCCGGGGCCTGTAGAGGACCCTTGAGAGGACCAGCCCAAAGTAGGCACCAAACGTGTGGATAGTCATGGAGCCTCCTGCATCTCTCACCTGGGAAATGGAGCTGATGTGGAGGGGCAGCCTCCTACCCCCACGCTCTCCCAGCTCAGAGCCTGGCCTTGACTGCTCCTCCACCCCCTCACCCCATCCATGTCCAGACTCTCACCCCCAGGAGGCTGAGGAGCACAAACTCGTTGATGCCAAACAGCACCACCTCCAGCAGGGCCATGAGCAGCAGCTGTGCAGGCCCAGTCTTGCCCAGTACGGCACCAAAGGAGATAAGCACTGCCCCGGCGCAGAAGTCGGCGTTGATCATGCTAGGGTTGGGGTGCAGCGGAGAGGGTGAGTGGGCACGGAGAATGGCTTCTGGGCCTCTGCCAGGCACGAAATGAGGGAAACACGAATCGATGCAGGTGGGCGGGGTGGAGGGAGATCAGAGAGGAGGCAAGGAGCTCAAGCCCTTCCCCGGGAGTTGGGAGAGATGGCCCCTGCCCTTTCTGTGGATGAGATCAAGTCTCAGGGAGGTTCTGTGACTTGGCTGAGAAAGCCCACAGTAGCTGGAAGAACCAGAACTTGAGCCAAAAGCTCCTCTAAACCCTGCCCTTTCCCTCGGTGTCGCTTTTTTTTTTTTGTCTTTTTCCATGTCCAGCAACGGATCGCAACCCTCAGTGTCGCCCCCGCACCGGACCGGGACCGGCAACGGGACCGCAACCCTTGGTGTCGCCCCCGTGCCTCGCTCAGCCAGTGAGCGGGAACTGGTCTGTATGTGGGATCCGAACCCTCGGGTGGGAGCGCCGCCGCGCTTCCCAAGCGGCGCACTATCCAGTGTGCCACCGGGCCAGCCCCCCTTTCCCATTAAGCTATGTACCCTCCTAACAGATCTTGGGTGATGGGGCCCTAAAGAAATGAGGAGGAGGGGCTGAGGGCATGGGCAAGAATGGGAGAGGAAATCAGGCAATGAGAACAGGCAGGGCAGTCTCCTAGTTCTCCTGACCTGGAGAAGTCAGTGATGGGTCAAAAACATGGGTCAGGAAGCAGACCGATGGACAGACAAGGCTTGAGCATGGTCCCTTGGGCAGGGACCTCCCAGGTAAAGCTGGGGGAGCCAGGGAGGCTGCTGCTGCCCACCTCTCCACACCAACATGGATGTGGCCACCGTGGAAGGAGTGGAGGAAGCCCTGGACCAGTGTGGACCACTGCAGGGCAAAGGCGGCCAGGAGGAAGGTGAAGCCCACGCTGCTGAAGCCATAACGCTGCAGGAAGGCCATGAGGAAGCCAAATCCCACGAAGACCATGGCATGCACGTCCTGAAAGCCTGCAGTGGGCAGGAGCACATAGGGACATTTGGGGGCTGTTCTGGCCATGTCCCATAAACCAATCAGCCACCCTGCCAGTGCCCCCAGCTCTCACCAGCCAGGGCTGCCTTGAGGTGGAGCCGAGCCTATAAAATTCCCAGGCATGACAGGACCTCCCAGCCTTGAGCCACCTGGAGCTTGGAGCCAGCCAGCTTGGAGCAGTGGGACCCAGACCATCCCTGCTGTCCCATGTTGAAGCAAGGGAGCAGAGCCTTCAGATCTGCTCATTTGCCCCATCCCTGGGTCTCTTACAACCGACTGGCTGAAAGTCCAGCCTGTGCTCTTTCCTGCTATGGTACCTGCCCCACCATGCCCCAAATTCTTCCCCCTCAGGCTTCAGGCTTCTTTTCAACTTTTCCTTTTCTGCTGGAAAGTTCTTCTTTCTTTCTTTTTTTTTGGCAGCTGATCAGTATGGGGACCCAAACCCTTGACCTTGGTGTTGCAAGGCTGCGCTATAACCATGAAAAGTTCTTCTTGACGAAGAGGTTCTTCTAACCTCCATCCCTCATACGTCAGTCTATACCTCTCCACTCTGAGGATTTTTATTTTTTAAAAATAATAATTTATGGGCCGGCCCGGTGGCGCACTGGATAAGTGCGCCGCTTGGGAAGCGCGGTGGCGCTCCCGCCCGAGGGTTCGGATCCCACATACAGACCGGTTCCCGCTCACTGGCTGAGCGAGGCGCGGGGGCAACACCGAGGGTTGCAATCCCGTTGCCGGTCCCCGGTCCGGTGCGGGGACAACACTGAGGGTTGCAATCTGTTGCCGGACACGGAAAAAGACAAAAAAAAAAAAAAAAAAAAAGAAAAAATAATAATTTATGAAATAGCTTTAAACTGTTAGCAGAGATTACCTCAGGAAAAAGGAATGAGACGGAGGGCGGGGCTGCTGTGTTGCACAACTTCAATGCAGATGACACTCCCTGGAGTTGTGCAATATGGCAACTCTGGAAGGACGATTACTTTTTAGTTTGTGTCTTTCTACAGTTTTAATATATATATTAAATATATATATATAAATATATATATATTATTGCTGGTCAAATATATATATAGACCAGCAAGGTGATCGCAACCCTTGGCTCGGTGTGGTCTGCACCACGCTCAGCCAGTAAACGCACCGGCCATCTCTATATAGGATCCAAACCTGTGGCCTCGGTGCTACCAGTGCTGCACTCTCCCGAGTGAGCCATGGGGCCGGCCCTATAGTTTTAATATTTTAACTTCATAGATGAGTGACTTGAATTTTTTAAAGTGTCAGTGGGGTTTCTGGGTGGGGAGCTTTGGGCCCTTTCTGTGTACTTTCTGTTCTGTGCCACTCTGCATAAAAAGCTAAGCAATAAAAATAATATGCAGTAACACTGAAATGGAATAGGGCTGGCCCGTGGCTCACTCGGGAGAATGTGGTGCTGATAGCACCAAGGCCACGGGTTCAGATCCCTATATAGGGATGGGTTGGTGGCTCACTTGGGAGAGCATTGTGCTGACAACACCAAGTCAAGGGTTGAGATCCCCTTAGCCATCATCTTTAAAAAAAAGAAAAAGAAGGGGCCAACCCGGTGGCGCACTGCTACAGTGCGCCGCTTGGGAGCGCGGTGGCGCTCCACCCGAGGGTTCGGATCCCACATACAGACCGGTTCCCGCTCACTGGCTGAGTGAGGTGTGGGAGCAACACTGAGGGTTGCGATCCCGTTGCCGGTCCCGGTCCGGTACGGGCACGACACTGAGGGTTGCGATCCGTTGCCGGACACGAAAAAAGACAAAAAGGAAAAAAAAAAAGAAAAAGAAAAAGGAATGGAATAAATACAAATAATTTGTTTTAGTATTAGTTCATTCTGTAGCCCTCCCCACTACTTGTAAATACCTAGTCTGAGGTTCAGGCAGTCCATCTGGTCCTATTTTCTTTGTCTTGGGTCTATGTGTATAGTAATGCCATGCTATACGAAGGGTCTTCAAAAAGTTCATGGGAAGATTTGCATTATCTCTTAATTCCATTTTTCCATGAACTTTTTGAAGTACCCTCATATTTTTGGTTTTAATCAAGAAACACTAGAGAAAGTATCATGAGTGCTGTTATTACATTTGTTATAAACATGTTATTGAGAACAGGTTCCACCTTCGCCCTAAACTCCCCTTCTATAGCTCCACGTGAGAAATTTTTCTTGGAACTTATTGCTAGGAACTATTGCTTCCCCTGAGGAACCCATCTGCTTTCCCACGTCCATGCGACAGATGTGCTGAGCACCCATGGACCAGGCTCTGGGAATGTAGCTGTCATCAAGGCAGCCACAGTTCCTGCTGTCACGGAGCATGGGAGACAGACACTGAAGAACCAAAGATTGCATGTGTGAGGCTTCCTTGGTTCTGATGAGAAAAATAAAACTATTTATATTTCCCTTTTTTCTTGGCTGCCTGGAGGCTCAAGGTTATACTGCATTCTAACTATAAAATAGTTATATTATTCTAACTTTAGAAAAATAATAATTTATAATTTTAGAATAATAATTTAATAATAATAATAATAATAATTTATAACTTTAGAAAAATAATAAATATGGGCCGGCCCGTGGCTCACTCGGGAGAGTGTGGTGCTGATAACACCAAGGCCCCGGGTTCGGATCCCACATAGGGGTGGCCGGTTCGCTCACTGGCTGAGCGTGGTGCTGACAACACCAAGTCAAGGGTTAAGATCCCCTTACCGGTCATCTTTAAAAAAAAAAAAAAAAAGAAAGAAAAATAATAAATAATTTTCAAGCCAGAAAATTATTATTGAACTTTAGAATGCAATCAGTAACTTTGAGAGAAGCAAATTTTCATGCTTTTTTGTATTGTATACATGGGCAGATAGGAAATGACTTTGCAAGTCCCTGGCAGAGGGCTGGGTATGTGCTGGAATTAATTAATTATTTGATGGCTGGCCAGAAGGGGAATCTAAACCTTTGACCTTGGTGTTATCAGCACAACACTCTAACCAAGAGAGCTAACTGGCCAGGCCTCAGCATTCCTTTTAGAGGATCCCTGTGGGGTGGGATGAAGCCTGATGCCCACACTGCCCCAACCTCATCAAACCCATGCACCTTTGGAGAGAAGACAAAAAGCCCTCTAGAGCCACCTATTGCCCTCCCTCCTTCCCTTACTTCCATTAGAGCTCCCCAACCCTGCCAGCTGACTCCTGACAAGACAAAATGATGGGACAAAGTAGCAGTTAAAGCTGGGGCTTTAACATCGACAGAGCTGGACTTAAATCCAGGTCCTCCCGCCCCCTTCTGACCCTGTGACCTTGGAAAAGTCACAACCTCTCTGATCCTCAGTTTACTCATCCGTTAAGTGCAGATGTAAAATATGAGGAGCAGAGAGAAGGGAGGAAGAGCTGCGGAAGTCATTTTCCTCCCAACCCCACACCGCACCTGCCTCTAGGACAATGGGGCTGCATTCTCCTAGAAGAGGTCACAAGCCACTCTGGTCCTGGTCACATTCCCCACCTCTTCCAAGAAGATCCTGATTCCATCTATTCTGAATCCCTCTCTCTGCAAGTAAGGTCTATTGAGGTGTGTGAAAAAGGACCTGTCCATATTTTACAACCCTTACTCCTGTTTGCTTCCATAGGGCTGGCTCTTTCTCCCTCTGTCTTATTTCCCATCACTTGTTTTATGGAGTAAGAGGCCACAGTGTGGGGAAAAGACTGCAGACGTGGAATCATGAGACCTGGTTCTAGCCTGGCTCCATCTGTAACTTGCCGCGTGACCTTAGGCAGGTCACATGATCTCTCTGGCTCTCTTTCCACATTGGAGAGGGGTGGACCAGATGGGCTCTGAGGGCCCATCCTGTAGAGATGACAGACAGAACCTTAGAGTGGCCGTGCCCTCGGCATTGACCAGTCCAAGAGCTCAACAGCCACAGAACTCCCTTTCATCTCCCGAATCAAAGGGTGGTGGCTACACCTCCCTCTGGCCCTGACCCCTTCCCCTGGACACAGGGACAGGTGAGGACCCGGCTCATCAAAGCCCCAGGCTCTAGGGAACTCAACCTCCCTCCTCCCCAACCTTCCCCACAGCAGGGTCTAAGTCCACAGGGATGGAAACCTAGGTCAGAAAAAGAGGTAGAAATCCCACTGCTACCCCTCTTATTGCAATCCAGGGACAGAAAGCTGTATGTCCAAGAAGAACCTACCACTGCGGCAGAGGGGTGAGAGGCTGGACTACAGGGAAGGCTTTGTAACAAGCAGGGCTTGGAGGCCCTGAGTGAGGCCCATGGGAGAACCAAGTTGGGGGTTCACGGTAAGCAGCCAGGTCAGACCCTTGGACAAAAGCTTACTTCTCTCGGCCTCTGGACTGTTCCCTCACAACTCCCTCTCTCTGGATAAATGAATGACCCCAAGAGTCTGCCAGAGCTCTGTGGCTCTGATTTTGATCCTAGCTTCCATGGCTCACCTTTTCCAGCCAGGGCTGAGGGTAAAATATGGGGAGGGAGGAGCTGTAGACCCCTCTGCCTAGGATGGCTGTGGGTCTAGTGCTTCACACCCAAGGTCAAGTCTCTACTTCATCTTCTATATCTTTAGCATTATGAGCTTCATTTTGTTAGGGCTGGACAGGGTGAGGTGGAGACAGTTTGCTGCCAACTCTGTTTATGGAAAGTGGGGTAATAACAGCCCTGAATTTTTTATAGGAGACTCTCACACTCTAGGCCTTATTTGTATGCATATCCTTCAAACTGAGGCATCCTTCTTCCCATTGCTCAGATAGGGAAAACTGAGGCTTAGAGAAGACCTGCCCAAACATTTGTGATGAAGTCTGGGGGGGTCTAGTGTTTTTGGTCGCAGCCATTTAGGGCCTGAGTCACAAGGCAGAGCCCCCAACCTTGAAGGAAAGGCTCTGTCCCCAGCAAGCAAGGTAGGGAGGGGGTGCTAACCTTTCCCTTCCTGAGCCTTGTCAGCAGGGAGGTGAGCTGTGGTGCAAGAAGCTTAGGATGCTTGAGTCCTAGTTCCAGCTCTGCTACTCACATGAGGGTGTAATCATAAGCAAGTCACAATCCCTCTGAGACTCAGCTTCCTCTGTGAAATGGGTTATTGACCCTGCCATTCCCTCAGGTCTGGGGGCTGCTGCTCTGTGATTTGCTGGCAGGTGGTTGCATCATTTTCTCTCTGACCCTGGAAGGGCCAATGTGGGGGACTGGGGAAGAAATACCTGAGCCCAACTAGTCTTGGCTGCCCACAGGTGTGACAGCTTCATAGCTAATATCTGCCATACCTGCCATTACTGCCTCTAGTACCCCCCCACCCCACCTACCTCCCCTGGGCCTGCCCAGCAGAATTCTCTTTCCTGTGTTGGGGTGGAGCCCCTAGGAAAGGCAAGGTCTCTGGAACAGCCCAACAAAGCCTAGTTAGGCCAACTGGGAGGTTGGACAAGGGAGCAGTTAAGGCTGGAGCTTTGCATCCGTTTCTAATCCCAGTTCTCCCACTGCGACTGCGTGACTCTGAATCAGCCACTTAACCTCTCTGAGCCTCAGTTTCCCCTTTTCTATCTCGTAGACTGAATGAGACAATGCATGTGCCTCCTTCAGCACAGTACCATGGAACATGGCAGACACTAGTGAAAGGGTGTTCTTATAAATCTGGGGCCCCTTCATCTCAAGAGGGTTGCCCACCTAGGGCACCCAAGCTCTCCCTCCCAAGACTTGGTATGTTTGCTCTCCGCGTGCCCTCACCCTCACTCACTTGGGTAGCGAAAGTAAAATTCATTGTCCGCGTTACTGTGGTTGCCCCGGTGCCAGAGGGCTGCGTCGGTTTCGTGGTTGTAGCGGACAAAGACCGCAAAGAGGATGGCGGTGACGCCCTGGAGGAAGAGGCACAGCAGGGGCAGCTGCAGTCGCCGGCCCGCGGCGCGGCGGGGAGACTCGGCCATGGGACAGGGGCTGTGAGTCACCGGCTCCGGCTGGGGCTCGCGGCGCGCAGCGCGGGGCTGAGACACTCGCGTTTGGCCGGGCAGGTCTCACCCGAACTAGCCCCGCCCGCCGGACGCCCCGCCCTCACGGCAGCTTCGCCCTCAGCCGGAGGGGGTCGGCGGGGGGCAAGGACTTGCGGGGGCGGCGTTTGCATCCCCACGTCCTGTCTTCCTTGGTCCAGCTGATCCTGGCGCTGTTCCGGTTGGGATAGGTCCTTGGAAGTGACCCTGGAAAGGCGCTCTGTGTTCTGCCCTCCTGGGGCACAGCTGCGGGACCTGGTGGTGGGAGAAGGGAGGGGACCCGTCCCCTCATACGTGGTGTAGTTTAGACAGTGTCTCCCATTAAATAAGCGGCCCTTGAATACACGGGCTGGCCCCTCCAGGGTTAACAGAGGAGATAGTTGGGGGGTTACTCAATCTTTTCCCTACTAAATAGTAGAGATGGAAAACCGAGATAAACAGAGGGCTCTCCAGGCGTTGATGATTAACTAGGCTGGGGGTGTCTGAGCCTCAGCAGTAGAGTTCCTTGTCCCGATCCGCGCCTCCTCCAACTCCCCACCCACAGTCTGTACCCTCCGCAGTACAGCAGGCTGGGCATGGGCCACACTGACACCTGGGTTCCCTGCACTGCCTGGTGTGGATGTGAGAGGGCCTGGGCTGCCTGTGCAGCTGGAAAGAAGGGAAGCTTGGGCCGGCCGGTGGCTCACTCGGGAGAGTGCGGTGCTGATAACACCAAGGCCACGGGTTCGGATCCCATATAGGGATGGCCGGTTCGCTCACTGGGTGAGCATGGTGCTGACAACACCAAGTCAAGGGTTAAGATCCCCTTACCGGTCATCTTTAAAAAAAAAAAAAAAAAAAGGAAGGAGAAGAAGGGAAGCTAGATGCAAAGAGGGTCTTCTCAGGAGTCAAGTCCCTAGTCACAAAGGCATGATTTGCATCCACTGGGGTCCTGAGAGACAGACAGTGAGGAGACAGGTATTTATTGAGCACTTACTGTGTTATGGCCAACGTCCGACGGGTAAAAGGAATTTGCCCAGGAGAACCGAGTGATAGGGAAAGGAAAAGAGTTTATTTCTGGCAGCCAGGGCTACGCAGGCCAATCGAAGTGCGCAGCCCCGAGATGATACCTCTCGCAGCTTTTATTTCTAGCTAGGCGGGAATTTTTCGCACCTGACACAATCTAGCCAATGCAAGCACGCCAGCGATACATAAGCTAATTTTGTGGGTAGCCCTGTAGCCCCTCCCCACCCTGTAGGGACTTTTCAGGCTAAAATGGCAGAGCCGCCTAAAATGGCGTTGGCCCTGCTACTCTATTTATTCCCCCATTTATTTTAGCAAGCGACTTGTACAGAAGCGGAATGCATATGTTAAGGTCAGTAGGGGTTGGGGCGTCCCTTAACAACTGTGAGCCAGACTGTGCTTCACACCAGATGGTCCCTCCCTCCAGGAGCCACTGTCCAGTCTAAAGACAGACACTTAGCAGGAAATTTAATTACCATTAGGGTGTGTGACCCAGAGAAGCTCAGAGGCTGTAGGGGGTCCAGAAGAAGGAGCTGCAGAGCTCACATGGTTGGAGATAAGGAAGAGGTTGGAAAGGGAGAATTGCTTCCTGGGGAGGTAATGTCTGAAGGCAGTCCGGAAGGACAGCCTAGGAATTGGGCAAATGAAGAAGGAATAGGGGACATTTCAAGTAGTGGGACCAGCATAGACAGAAGCCTGGCAGTGTAAGTGTCCAATGTGTTCAGGAACTGAGGCTGGGGATGGGGAAGTCTGGAAAGCCTTGAAGGCCCTACTGATGAGGCACATGGGCTCTCCGCAGCAGCTGCTGGGCCACTGAAGGACTCTAAGCAGGTGACACTATTTGTTCTGACACCTGACAACTGCAGTCCACGAGGGGCTTCAAAGAAGCAAAGCTGAAGGCCAGTTTCAGTGGAACTGGTGAGAGGGGAGACCTTCTGTCTACACTGCTGCCCAGCCTCACCCACCTATCTAAGGGGGCTGTTGTGTGGGAGGGGTCTGTGGGTGTTTGCAATGATGTCCCAGACCCTGGCCTAAACGAAGAGCTGCCACTTCCAGGGGATAATGGCCTAGGTTAATAGGGGCCAACCACTCCTCAGAGCAGATGCAGGGCGGGGCTCCTCCTAGGAACCAGGCTTGTCCCTTCTCAGGAACGGGCAGGAATGGGGTCAACAGTGGAGTCCCTGATCTTCCTCCTTTTTTCCCCCTCTGCCCCTTCCCCAGTTCACCTCCTCCCCTCATCCCCTCACAGGCTTGAGCCTCTGGCCCAACATGGACTCCAGGGAACAGTTGGATTCTAGATACCCAGTTTTCCTGACTTAAGTGCCAGCAATGCACAAGAAAGAGCAGGGGTCAACCTCTGGATGGCAGCTTCTGGTAGTTCCCAGGTGGCCAGGCAGGCTGTCTGGTCATCAGTGGCCCCTGTTTAAGATTCTCCATCACTACTTGGTCAGCAAGAAAGTTGTTTTCTAGCCTCTTCTGGGATGGGGGGAGATGTACAGTCAGTAGCCTTTGGATAATGATTCAGCATCTGGAGTCTCCCCCCAGCTACAGCCTTCTGCCCCAGAGATGCTTCCTGAGCACTGTTTGGGAGTGGGGGTTGCTCTGGGCTGCCCAGGCAGGGACTGGACCAGCCTTGGGAGGGGAAGAGCCTTAAAAAGCTGCAGAACCAGAGAGAACAAGGAGTAGGTTGGGCCTTCTCAGCATCTTATGGGACCCACCTCCCAGATTCCAGCCTCCTCCATCTCTCTCCCATCTGTTCTCTCCCTTAGTCTCTTTGAATTCCTCTGGGCCTCTGATTTTCCCTCTCCTCTGTTAATTAACTCATTCAACAAATATTGATTTAGTGTCAACCCAGGGCCAGGTCCTGGGGCTACAGCCATAGGTTCTAGTCAAGGTATGTAACAGGGCCCCAGCCTGGCAGGGTTAACCCTTTAGTTACTGTATTGTGGGGAGATCTAGAGAGGTCCCCCAGAAGAACCAGGAGAACTGGGCCAGCCTCTGGAGGATACACTTAGAGACCTTTGGGCAATAGCTATTAACCAACCTATATGGGATGATCTGTATATTTTAACAATTAGTGGGTACTAGCTGGTGTCAGCCCTGGTCCAGCAGAGAGCAAGACCCTGAAAGTCCTCCCCTTCTGAGGATTCCCCCAGGGTCACCCTCCCCCTCTGCCAGACCACCACCTGGGAGGAGGGCTTCCCTGGCCCACCACCCACCAAGTACTATGGAGACAGTTTTATTTTGGATCGCCAAATGATGTCAGAGCCCTTGCCTCTCCCTCCTGCCTCCTCTGGACCTGGCAGATCTGATGGAATTAGCGGGGGGAGGGGCTCATCTCTCACTCTTCTCTCTACACCAGGCCTCCTCTGAGGGGCCCCTGGCTCCATCACCAGCTCCTATTCTGTCTGGCCTAGGTCTGCCCAATCTTTGACCTTCTATCTCCAGTTTCTAGCTGTGACCAGCCAAGCACCTGAAAGGTAGCCAGGGGGAACCAGTGTCTGCTGCCTGCCCTGGCCCAGCTTGGCCAGGTTGTCTCTGGGGACCAAGTACATGAGGTTACTGAGTAACTCGGGGTTGCTTGGAGCTGCTCTCTACTGGGGTCACCTTCTGCCTACTCCCTGCTCTCTTGGCTCAGGAATCCCCAAAGTCACTTAGCTCCTTTAGTTTCATTGAGCCATCCCCTGTGTTTATGGGAGAAAAAAAGAGAAAAATAGCAAAGCAGAGTCATTAAGGCATTTGTTCCTTCATTCATTCATCACATCTTTACTGTATGACCTCGGGCAAGTTATTGAGCAGTCTTTGAGTCTCAGTTTCTTTATCTGCAGTAGTAATATTTCCTTTGTGGAATTATGAGGATTCCAAATAAATGATGTAGATTGCTGGCATTTTTGTAAGCATTCAACAGATGTGGTGATTATTGTTGTTCTGATTGGCTGAGCAGGGAGGGCAAATGGGTCACTGGCTCTAGCACACTGAGGGGTGCATGGTGTCTCTGAGGACAGGAACAGATGGATTGGGCAGGCACAGTCTCCATGAATTCTCCTTCATTGGCTTGGGGCAGGGGGTGGTACAGAAGGGGCTGGGGGCCTAGGATAAGCACATTTAGGAAGGGCCATCAGACCAGCAGCCCCAGTGATGTAACAACTCTTGAATAAGAAGATTTGGAAGAAGGCAGAGCCTTTCTTCATTCAACCAACATATATTCAGCACCTACTGTGCGCCAGACACTATACTAGACACTGGGGATCCAATGGAACAAGATATATAGCCCCTGCCCCAGGTGGAGGCTCCATTCGGGGGGATGTAAATGAGTAGGCAGACAATCTCACTGCAGAGGGCTATAATGGTGGCAACATGTGGGGACACTCAAGAGCTGCTCCTAACTCATGATGAGGGTGGTCAGGAAAGGCTTCCCAGAGGAAGTGATGCTTACATTAAGACCTGGACTCATTTCACAACTGGGCTAGAGGAGGGGAATTCCTTTTTGTCTGAACACTCTAGTATGAAACAGAAAGGAGGCTATACTAGAAAGCTTCTCAATGCCCACTTTCTGACGGTGGACAAACCCCAGACCTCAATTTCCTTGAAAACCACAGCCACTGAAACACTTTGCAAAATATTATTATATTCACATACATGGCACAGTAAAAATTAAATATGGCTTTTTCTCTCCAGAGCTTCACCATATTAGCTCCCATGTAAAAGTTTGTCAGAATCAGATTACTCATGCTTGTTATACTTTTTTCATCTGTAAAATAAAAATGACAGTACCTTGGGGGGAAAAAAGTTTCTCAGAAGGCGATTATCATCTCAGACCAAACTTTCTTTTCATTCATTTATTTATTTAACACATTCTGTTTGCATTCCTATTATAGGCCAAGCGCTGTGCTAAATTCTGGGGGAACGTCCTCCACACTCCCTCACCACCGAACAGAACAGAAACATGCTGTTTTGAGAACGTCAAGATGGA